CAATACTAATGTTACATTACTATAAATTCAATGTATTTGTTCAGTATAGTATATCAAAATGTCATAAGGCTTGCAATATACAAAATAAAATATAAACATACTAATTTTGCATGTGTATGACATTAGTTTTCTGTTAAACACAATATAATACTCAAAGTAATAGTATTAATGATTTATATTACACACATTTTAACATACAGTTTGAAATCCTAGGTAATACAACTCAATCTAATATACAATATGTACAATATATATACAATGTAATATACATAAGAATAAAGGCGTCCCCACCATGCTTACACTCCTAAGACCAATACAGTGTGGCTGCGTCTATGTGCATTGAACTTACTGGCTTGACTAAACGCTTTCCCACATGCCTCACATTCATAAGGCTTCTCTCCACTATGAGTCCTTGTATGTACAGTCAGGCAAGAAGAACATCTAAAGGTTTTCCCACATTCCTTACATGCATAAGGCCTCTCTCCTGTATGAGTCCTTGTGTGTATAGTTAAGTTTGAGGAATGCCTAAAGGCTTTCCCACACTGCTTACATTCATAAGGCTTATCGACACTGTGAGTTCTTGTATGTGAAATGAGGTGTGAAGAGCGAGTGAAAGTTTTGCCACATTCTTTACATTCGTAAGGCCTCACCTCCCTGTGAGTTGTACTGTGTCTTCTGAGGATAGAAAACTCGCTAAAGGCTTTGCCACATTCCTTACAGTCATAGGGCCTCTCTCCACTATGAGTTTTTCTATGACTAGTGAGTTTTGAGGACCGAGAAAAGGTTTTCCCACATTCTTTACATTCATAAGGCTTCTGCCCATTGTGAGTTTTCAGGTGTCTAGTGAGATGTGAGGAACACCTAAAGGCTACCCCACAGTCCTTACAGTCATAAGGCCTCTCCCCGCTGTGGATTCTTCTATGTATAATCAGGTTTGAGGAGTGAGTGAAGGCTTTCCCACAATCCTTACATTCATGAGGCTTCTCTCCACTGTGGATTCTTCTATGGATAATGAGGTTGGAGGATTGAGTGAAGGCCTTCCCACATTCCTTACACCTATAACTCCTCTTTCCCTTGTGAATGTCCACCTGCTGTGTGAGTGACAAAGAAAATCTAAAGTCTTCCTCATAGTCTTTACATACATGATGTTTATCAAAGTTCTGAAATGTTTTATGTAGACTTAGGGATGACAGCAAACCACAGGATGCAGACTGCTCCTTATGATCACACTTAGGGCCTCTCACGTGTTTCCAAAAGGATGAGAAACCACAGAAATCCCTCCCACATTTGTGACACACATAGCATTTTTCACCCATGCGTGTTCTCACGGGATTCTGAAGGCTTGGCACACTGACATCCTTCCCACGCTCTTTTTCACCGTCGGCTTTCTTTCTTGGAAGAGTTCTCAGAGAAGGGGTCAGCTTTGAGGGACAATCACAGGCCTGTCCACTTTTCTTACTCTCACAGATGTCACATCCTGTGTGGGATCTGATGTGACCAGTGTAGGAGGAGTAATCCATGAAGGCTTTTCCACATTCACAACATTGAAACGGATTTTGTTCAGGAAAACTGCTTTGTACCACAGTAAGATTTGGAGTCTCACACTGATGGCCTCTACTACTTTCACAGATGGTCTTCACTGTAAGATCCCTGTTAAGAAGACGGAATATGTTATTGGAATGGAGTTCCTTATTGAAAATTAACAAACAGAGCGTATTTGCATGGCTTTTGGGTCCAAAATGTCTGGAGGTTAAAAAGAAATAGCTCCCCCTCAGAAGAATTTACTTCAGAGGACAGCAAGGAAGCTACAGCTCGAGGAGAGGGACATGTCTGATCGGAGCACATGGGAGCAAATTAAGGGGGAGGAAGAGAGAGTGGAGCACATCCTGACCCACCAAGCCTTGAGGACGACATCCCTGCTCAGAACAGCCAATGCACAGAGAGAACCATAT